AAATAAATAAATACACCTGCAAACATTTCAGGACACTTTGGAGTTTCTCGTGCAAATTCTGTTTGTCAGCTGGTCAATAACAGCCTGTGAGACACTCCCCTAAAGCAAAAGCATCAACCATATCCTCCTCAGATATCTCAAGTGCTCAAGAGTCAAATGTGAGGCCATCTGTCCGACAGGCTCAACTTAAGCCATGCAGCAGGACAAAGACTCCACACAGAACAGCCAAGCTACAACAGAAGGGTTAGGACAGAGACCTTAAAGTGCAATRCTGGTCCAATCAAAGATCAGACTCATCCTAACTGAAATGGTGTGACAAGACACTAAGAAAGCTAAAAGTCTGAACTCAATAAACTGAGACATGCAGGGAAGAGTTTAGGCAAAAAAAAATCATACGTAAGTTTATTGTCTTTACACTCTGGTCTGCAGAGACACCCGCATACAGATTATCTATCACTGTATGCTGATTTTGATATAGAAGCTGAAAAATAAACATTTTCTTTATAAACTTGTGTTCAAAAGCATTTTTTAAAACTACTCTTGTGGTGGAAAAACCTTCCCGTCTCTTGTGCTTTACTGGCACTCTGCTTCTATCTATAGCATGCTGGGTTTTTTTCTTTTCCCATCACAGCCCTGGTGGAAAATCCAGCCACACTGAGCTAATCAGTGTTAGCGTTTAGAGTGAGTGTGACTGAAGTGTGTACCTTCTGGTTGGTGTCTGTTGTGATGGCCAAACCGTTTGGCACAAGGCCGGCCGTTTTGTGCTTCTTCACCAGCCTCACAGAAATGACTGGGATGGCCACCTGAGCAGAGGGACAAAAAGTAGGACAAATACTGCAATAGACGAGGATACAATTTCACACCTAAAACAAGGAGGAGGAAAAAAGATAAAAGCTGAATTTTAAAGACCATTGTCATATAAGATGAGGAAAAGTCCCTGCAGAAAATCAGCAGGTAAGACAAAACGCGTGTTATTTGAGTCAGAATGTGAAGAATGCAGTCTGAATAAGTGGCTCACTGTCACTGAAACCTCAGGAGAGGTTTCAAGGAAACGAAGGAAAAGGCAGAAAGCACAACATCAAACGCGAAGCTCGCATATCTGGTCTGAGAAAAATCTACAGATTTTAAAGACACATCAAGACAACGACCTAAAGAGAAGTTTTGACATATCAAAGCGTTAAGTTTGGTTCAAGTCGATTAGAATTTAGACTGATTTTTAGTATATTTAGTAAAATTGGCCAATCAGGTTTATAGACTGTGATCTGGTTTCTCAGTCAGTTTAGGTTTATTAAAAGTATGTATCAACCCCTACAAAGATACATTAATTTCCCCAAAAACTGTACTAACTTTTAAAGAATATGACACAATATGTAATCCAGAGTCCAAAGCACTCCACAGACATTTCAATACTTCTATTCGAAAACAAACAAAAAAACACCAAAAAAATGGACAACAACTTTTGATATACGTAATTAAGAGAGACCATAAATTGATCCAGTTGGTCAAAGGAGGTGTCAATAAAAAGGGGAGGAGCTACACAACCATTATGACACCTTAGTTAAGGCATTAGAAGCCCCTGGTGAAGCGCAGGAGCCTCTGAATGCAGGAAAATGTCACAAAGGAGCACTGRGACGCCYAGACGTAAAATAAATTTAAAGCTGACTTTGTCCTAGACAACATTATCATTTAAATCTCATATMWRTAACAAACGGTCAGCCTACTTTCACTGTAACCTCACTCATCTCCGTCCATCCCTCTCACCCAGCAGCATACTATTCTGGTTCACGTTTTGGTCACATCCCGGCTGTGTTACTGCAACTCCCTTCTAAGTTTAACAGCGAAATCCACCCATGAATCCCCAACTGGTCTAAAACTCATCTGCTCGGCTCATTTCCAGAACCCCTTCCAGCAGTCATATAACACCTGTCCTACAGCATCTGCACTGGCTCTCCATCTATCCATGTTTTTAAATCACAAATTAAAACTCTTCTTTTTAAACAGGCATTTTCAGTTCACCATCAACCTCTCATCACCTCTGTTTGTCTTATGTATGATATTTTATTGTTTTTTAATTTTTTATTGGTTTTTACTCCATTTTATATTGTATTTTATTGTATTGTGTCCTTCAGTGTAATGAAAGACATCAAATAAAATGTTATTGTTTATTGAAGCATCTGTGAAACTTTCTCTATACGTCTGTATGCATGAAAAATGGTGAAAAGTCGGTGTAATTTACAGACAATCTGTACAACTTTTCATACATGTATTAAGCTCCCTTYGTTTCATACCTTGATGTCTTTGCCGAAGAGGTTGGCATAGAAACACAACCAGTTTCTGGAAATGTACAGTCGACCCTGTAGAAGGATATCTCTGAGGAGAGCACAGGAGTACACTAAGAAAAGAGAAGGAGAAAAAAAAAACGTATTTAAGAGCTATAATTACAATAAGAATAACTCTAAGACTCAGGGTTAGCATAGGCTGTGTCCAAAACAACAGGCCGGGTCCTCCGGAGGACCCAGACTACCCAGTCGAGGTGGGCCGGGTCCTTGGTAGACAGGGGAGACTGGAAAAAAAGTGTCTGTGGATTTGGACAGTCTAGCCACCCCTCTACCCCGGCGTATGTCATGCCACCTAGCAACCATGATGATGCTAAACAGAAGCAAAAATAGATCAAAATTAGAAAAACATCAATATATCAGTGTTATTAATATCACAAAACAATAAAATTAACTTAAAGCTAACATTTGGAGAACTAATTGACCCAYCATAGGTGCATGTTTATTTCGCGTTTTTTTCTGACAAAAATAATATTTGAAAACATGTCTGTGCAAATGATAAAAGTATTAGAATTACAACCATTAAATTTTATTAATTTTTATAGCGTCATATTTTTATTTAAAACATTTTCTCTCGCTTCGTCCGCCATTACTAGCATAAAAAAAATCTCCGGTCGGGCCGCAATGCATTATGGGATATGCTGGGCCGGGAAGGATCCATCAGACCAGTCCTTCAATTCAGGCCAAAGGAAGATGCATTTGTCGGCCACATCGGAGGAGTGTTCGGTTTTGGACGGCCTTTGTGCGGCGCTGTGACGTATGCGGCCGACGAATTCGGCCTTCGGAGGAACCGGCCCAACCTTTTGGACACAGCCATAGTTTACACCAAATGGAAGAATAATCAGAATCAGAATCATTTATTGTCATTCACACACAACATCAAAGATGCAATGCAGAAAGAAATTGYAGTTYAGAACATCCATCTGGAGAAACACACAAATAACAAACATGGGGGGAACGAATGTCCAGGGTCTTTCGCATGATGGTGCGCTAACTTTTGCAGCTGGGAATACACACACTAGGAAAGGTGAGTTAGAAAAAGAAGCTCTGATCCTGGGTTTTACAAAGAAACACAGAATCATATGCTCAAAAAAACCACTCGCGTCAGTGCAAGGCAGCTAAGGAAAGGAGGGGGCTGGGGGTCAAACAACACATAAGGGGGAGGTAAGATGGGGCGGGTTCAGAGGAGTAGGTGACGTTGAGGGAGGGGAGTCCATGCTAGGACCCAACCCTGGCCCTCTCCAGAGTCCAGAGTCACATGATGTTATCGTCTCTGCTGAGTTTTCTAGAGTTCAGAGTTTTCTCCTCCTCAGCCAATTGAGTTCCAAGGCCGGGTCCAACACGGGTGACGAGGGTGGGAGCGAATMCAGCTCTTTGTTGACATTCCATCCTGGGGAGATTGAGATAAACACTGCCGTCGAGGCCGTGCCGCTGGGAGCCAAAAAAAGAGAATCCGATTGTTTTGGAACAAAACAGCCTTGAATTTCCTGCTGCTTTTGAAATGTCTTAACTTAATCTCTGAAGTGGCAAAAAAAAAAACAATCAGCCAAATTAGGGGTCTTCCTCGCCTTTCACCGTCTGAAGCATCACCTAGATGTAATCCTTACATGCCGGAGGCTCGCTCCTGAGCTGCGATCCTCGTCAGAATCACATCCAGTTTGCAAATTATTCCTTCCAGCTGAGAGTCTGTGTGCTACCAACCCATCAGAATCCTTCAAGTGCGCCCGACAGCTCCTCTAAGCCCGAACCACTGTCAGGGTCGCTATCACTTTTCGATAAATCTGGAACCCTTCTCCGCCGATCAGCAGGAATCCAGTTATCAGAAATACAAATATTTATATCTTCCACGTCTTCAATGGAAAGTGGTGCTGGCATTTCAAACTCCAGCCCCAGGAGTCAGACAAGTCCAGCAGCAACCATTCCACCCAGACACCCACGTTCCCCTCGTTCCAAGTGTGGAAGAAAAAAAATTCACTTGCATTCAGAGACCAGTTGACCAAATCCATAATTCCTTTAGTTTTGGATGGTAGGTGAAAAAAGAGCTTGAAGAAGCAAAAAGCATCGAAGCATGACAACATGTGACTCATGTTGTCATGTTGAAGAATGTTCATGGGTTGACTSGGTTATTTTAGTGCTTTAGAATTAGCTTTTGCTAAAACATTCAGTGCATTACTGCTTTAGAATTAGGGGACCTAAATATCTGAGTTAGTGTTTTAAGGCCAGTGGAACTAATTTTTAGATTAGTGTTGCCCACCACTGGTCACATATAACCAAAAAGTTAGCTTTGTTAACTCATTAACCAGCTTACTAATAATWTAGGTTAGGTAAAATAAAAATAGCAGAAGTTAACACAAAACAGCTAATTTCTAATCTCAAAAATGACTGTCACACGTCTTCACATTCCTCAAGCTGGAGGGACTGACACAAACCTGTTGACATTAGTTTGCTAGTTAGCTGTTAGCGGACATAAAGTTAACCTAATTTAGCAAAGCTAATTTTTCCCCTAACGGTTTTTTACAAATTAGTGAAAAAGCGAATCCACTAAATGAAAAACTAGATTTKTTATTAGCTGTTAGCTAATTAATGGAACCATGCCCACCACTGCATTTCTGTATAATAAACATTTATCTGTAGTAAATTGTAAGTATACATATTAGAGCTCAACACATGACAAATAGAGAAAAATCCAGGTGAAAACACAGTACCTTTCATGAGGATCTCATCCTTGGGCACACATGGGAACAGTTTGTGGTACTGAGAGTTGTACTTGCTGACAGTCTGTGCAGAGGGACAGGGCAGAGTCATGAGCAGCTCCTTGGTGGACCGGCCTGCCCGCACAGCGCCAGCACCACCGGTCCCTCCTCCTCCTCCTCCACCACCATGGGCTCCGCTCGGYGCAGAGACAACCCTCTCCCTCAGAGGACGCGAGTTCTGCACCAGGCTCAGCACGTTGGCACCGTACTCACACACACACTCGCGCACATCCAAGGCCTGGAGCAAACCACTGCAAGATACACACTGTTCCCCTGTCGCTGGTCAGTACTGGGCTGCAGATGCTACTTCTATTTAACATGMAGGCATAACGATGAACACACTCATCTGGTTCTAACACACACACACACACACTACAGCCTAACAGGAGCGTCAGCTTACAGCCACTGAGCTCTTCCTCGACTACAGGGCTCTCCTTCTCTGTCTCAAATACACCTTCAGAGACTCTACACCCTCCCTCGCCTCTTTCCTTTACACACATACACTCTCACTGCCCTGCTCTGAAAAAATAAAAATCTCAAAAAGGCACCCCTTATAGTCAGAGCTCACCTGAAGTCCTTTTCCCCACTTCCTCTATTTACTCTGTCATTTTCCTTTCAAGTCTTCTACACCTAAAATCCTACCTTTTCCTCCCTGAACACTCAACACATTTTCATTCCCTCACTTCCCCTCWGCCACAGCTAAAACTCACYTCCAGCTACGGCTTTCTCCCATTTTTTTATTCCATCTTGTTTTGTATCTCATCTTTYACAGTATTAATGTAAACCTGTTCAGTCTGTTATTCTGTGCCGCTCCTGGTTTATTTCTCTATTTATAGCACACACACAGGGGAAGCTCCTGTTCTCAGGACTACATTTACAAAAGGATAATAGAGAGMAGAAAGCCCTGAGGTAATATTCACTTTGTATCATATTTTAACTGCTTTATTGTTGAAATGGTATCAGAAGATTGGTTGTGTTATTTTACTGGAATAATGTAGTTTGACAACCGTCTGGCAGTCAAGGTCTAAAAATGTTTTTAAATTTTTCATCTTCAGGTTATATAAACACTGTTATAAAATGCTTTTATTGAGTCTTGGTTTAAAATAAATTCAGTTCAACTTGAATCTAATTGTAATTAGTAACTAAAACAAACTCACCGAGCCCCGGTAACATTTCTTCACGTCTTCATAGGACAGGTCTTCAATCAGATGAAACCTGTGATGAAACATAACATTTTCATAAAKGTAAAGTAAAAAGCAACCATTTTCAAACAAAAGCCCTAGCATTTATTGAAGAAATGCACATTGCCCACACAGTTGCAACTGAGCCTCAGCTACTACCACATCAAATTTTAGCTTAGTATCTTTAAAATGACTGACTTTTTACTTTCATTTTTGTGTTTGCTTATGTTGATTAGATTTGGCAGCCATCTTGAGCTAGGTTGGTATGAGACACCAAGTGTAAAATGAAATGTTAAAAAATGTCACTAGCACATTTTTCATTGTTTTTTTATTTTATTTTTTACATTAATGTCAAGTCCTAAATCTGGTGGGCAAACAGGTTGTTCACATGCAAAATGAGGACCATCAGCCAAACAATAGATCAGCTAATGCTGCTAACACTGTTAATGCTGCTAACGCTGCTAACACTTCTCTGCAAGACATCAAACTTTCAGCTGCAGCCGGTGTCTGAGCTGCACTTCAAACTGCCATTCATATTGTTTTCAATGTTTCAGTTTTAAATACCATCTTCAGTAGCGTTAGCAGCAGTTAGCATTGATGTTTTTCACCAGGATGATGGCTCACATGAACCGCTACTAACTATCAGTTACAACCAAACCAAATTTTACACCAATATGTGTAAACCTGACTGACTTAGTCATTTTTGAGTTAACTAATACTGATTGGGAGTATCATTAAAGTCTACCCAGTTGTTTGTGAGATGTTTTCCTAACACAGCAGAGAAAATCAGACATGCACACATGCAAAAAACTCCATCCCCTTCTTTTTGCAGATGGACAATAAATACTGATGCACAATCCAAAAGGATAAAACGTTGTTCACGTAAAGTCTGAGGGCRCGCTTGTACGTTACTCTGCATCAGRTGGTTCAWTGTGTCTGAATGGAGATGAAGGATGTTACAAAACAACTTCATCAAAGACTAAAACTGAGCAGCCTCAACAGAGACCATGCCAGGAGGTTATCAATGCGTTGCTCTTTAAATAACACGCACCAGCATGAAGCTGGCCTCGGGAGGAATAGTCAGAGCAGTGCAGCAGATGTCACAGCATGTTAACTCATATCTGTTGCTAAAGCAGAAACAAGGCAGTGGATAGAATACAGTATCATCATCAGCCCGGGAAGAAGGATGTCACYGTCCCTGTTCAAACACGACGACCTGCATGAACCAGTAGAGACTGAATGGGCGATGCATTCAGACAGACACTTCTTCTTTCATCCCGTATCTCTCYGAGAGTGTGGGCTGATTGACAGCGAGCACAGGGAGGTGTAATGCAGCGCTGATATGAAAACGCAGCCAGAGGAGGAGAYGCTGATAAAACTGGAGCTCTGCTAAACTGCAGCTTCATGTTTACAGAGATGAATTGAGTCATACTGCGCAGGATTAAAAGGCATCAAGTGACGAGCACAGAGGTTATCTTGATAACTTTGAGCAACTCAGAATGCTGCATCTTATTAAATCAGTATATCCGTCCTCATGCATTCAAAGTGAAAACAAAACATAAAATTAGTGTAGCCAAGGTTGTAAATAAACGAGGCAGTGAAGTTTCTTCCTAGATCACAACTGGACCCTTTTTTTTTTTGGCACTTTAGGCTCTTTAAGGCACATATTTTAAATATTTCACATACATTAGACACCAAAGTCCACCTGTTCAATAGGTTCTTAACTCAAGTGGCTAATCAGCCAATCACATGCCAGCTACTCAACCCCAAATACAGGTTTTATGCATGTAGGGGAAGAGAAGATGACTTTCTAAAGTTCAAACTAGCATCAGAATGAGAAAGAAAGGGGATTTAAAAGTGGTTGTTGGGTCACACAGACTGGTCTGAGGGTTTCAGAAACTGGTCACACAGACTGGTCTGAGGGTTTCAGAAACTGGTCACACAGACTGGTCTGAGGGTTTCAGAAACTGATGGTTCATACAACCATCTCCAGGGTTTGGTCATTGTGTGGTCATGAAAATCCTTGTTAACGTCAGAGGTCAGAGGAAAATCGGCAGACGGGTTTGAGATTCACCAARACTAAACAGTAGCAAACTGAATCACTTTGCCTGGTTTTATGTTTCTGGACTCACTGGACTCCAGTGGTCTCTACAGTCAGCAGATCTCAGTCCAGTCTATCATTTTTGAATGGTGGACCAACCCAGACCTAACAAAGAGGATCTAATAAAGTGGTCAATGAATGTTTGTTTCATTATACTTATACAACACCATGTTTCAGAGAAATGTACCATTTATACATTCTCATTCATCTAACATTTCATATGTATAATGTCATTTTAAGAAATGGGGATTTTAACTAGTATATTTTTGTGGATGTTATTCTGATTCCGTTTCAACACATTTCGTGTGAACAGCCTTGAGCTCAGCATTTTATTAATCCTATTCTTTTACTCTGACGTATAGCTGGAAATAAACAGAAATGTATTTTGTGTACATACATTTGAAATGATACATTACCTAATTATACAATACAGTGAAGGTCAGACAAGATGTAAATCAACGTGTTGTTTATTTGTAAAGTCCATCAGTGAAGAAAACTATGTGATTAGTTGTAAGCTGGAGTTATAATGTAAATAGTCTACTTGTAAGAGAAATATTTCTCTTTGAGCCTGGCTGTAATTCAGCAGCAGACAGGATGGATGGAGCAGTCTCCTCTTTCAGCACTGTTTCTGAYGTACAAAGTGCCATTGTGTGAAAACCCTCCTCACATTTCTCTCAGAGTCATGACGTCAGCCTCCTCCCTCTGATGCTCCTCTCAGTAAGAAGATAGTGTGACCTCTGACCCTGATCAGCTCTGCCCGCCTCTGACGCTTCTTTCCATGCAGCTCTTTTATGTCACAACAGGGAAATCTGACTGATGGGATCGAGCTGACCACAAGGTCATTCAGATATCTGAGGGCTGTGTGTTTAAACGTGGCACAAAATATTTTACAACAAAAATATCCAGCTGAGAAATTATTATCATGACTCGTTGTGATATGAAACTGCATCCTKGTATTCAAAGGAAGACACAAAATTTAAAAGAGGCATAGAAAACTACTTCTAATGCTGAAAGATTGGGTTTAAAGTTAATCTGCAGCTGGATGTGGGAGTTTACAGGGAAAGCAGAAAATGAGGAAACAGTAAAACTGCTGAAATTTAGAGATTTTAAAGAGGAAAGTATAAAGTCATTAAACGAATAGTATTATACAAAGATTTTTCTGAACTTTAATTTGTAAAATTTTAGGTCAATCAGACCATTGGTTCCAGAGAAATGAACCCCCAAACCTCTGGCAAAAATGGGCGTTTCCACCTGTTTTCAACTCCAATTATCTCTGGAACTACTGGATCAACTTTTACGCACTTGACGTCATTGGAAAGGAAATTTGATAAGAATTACYACACCTTAGGAACTTTTCATTATTTAGATAACAAGTATGGGTGTAAATTTCTGCAAAAGTCAGCCTAATAGATCCAGTAGCAGGACATCAGGCCACTGTGAGGTTTCTTACAGATCAGGTGGATCTACAGCTAATATGGATTTGATCCAAAAAGATACATATAAATGGAGTTATGTACATTTTTAATGCATTTTGTGGTTAATTTTGACAGATATGTATTTTTAATCAATTTTTCTTCTACAGTAAACAAAAAAGATTGCTGCTTTGAAACTTTTATGTTTTATCTAAGAAGTGGTGGATTTAAATTCAGTAAAGGTAGGGTTGGATGACATGGCTAAAATTTATATTATATAACTCGTAATTTCAGTCAATACAATGTGATTTCTATATTGATATGAATAATGCAAACATCAGAACAACAGCCAAGAACACAAATGTTTACTGTACCTACAAACGTGATGTCATTTAAGGTATCTTTAATTGGGATTATGATTAGTCAGAACAAAAAGCCAGATATCTTAAATTTACTTTATGACCAKTCACTATTTATTTATTGATATCTGAAATACATTTATGTATAGTCAGTTATTTATTGCAGTTATCTTGGCTTGGAGCCTCCATATAACTTAATAACAATCTAATGAACAATTATATGTTAATTAACTATTTCCAGTCATGAACTAATGTCAGATATCTGGAATGTAAGTGAAGCCGATTTTATGTCAAAACGGCTTGCCATACATTTGCATGTGTTTGTTGCGTTGGTTTCACTTTGCTCAACAGCTGCCGATGGGGACATGGGAATCCCTGATATGCTCACAAAACAAAAACTCACAAGACAAAAACTCACACCGCTAATGAAAGACAAAAGACAAAAGTTCACAAATACACAATTTTTGTTAGCCACACATCGCATCACATAAATAGCTCATAAGATTTATATCACAAAGTATTATCATACATCATACATACAATATTTCACATTACAAATGTAAGAATATTATATGTAATTAAAAAACACTCGCATGAAAATAGGAAGATACATCCAATTTTGCCAAAAATGTCAATTTGAGGGTCCCTATCTCTGGAATGACTGGTCTGATTGACCTAAAGTTTGAAATAAAAGATTTGCTGAGGGATCAAAATTGACAAATAGGCCAATTTTCATCAAAATACGAGATGGATGAGTTAAAAATGACCACAATCACGGCTCAAAAGGTTCAGTCGGTGCTACTTGCTGTAGAAAATCWAGATTCACTGATAAAATATTGAGATGTCCCCATTAGCTGTAAAACAACTGTCCTTCATAGTTCATATGTTTTGAGAGGACTGGTGATGTTTGTTCTTACTGATAAGTTTTGTTGAAATGAGCACTCTGATAACCTGAGGTCAGATTCTACCACTTGGATCTGGTCCAGGTTAGGTCTTCTGGTCTCCTTTATGTTTTACTGTCACAACACTACTCATAACATTTAAAATCTTTGGACATTTACTGTGACAATTATTTTGAAATGTTCAATGTAGTGCATGATGTGTATACAGGATAYGAAAAAAATATTATTACAGAACTGAAATTACAGCTGTTTTGTTGAAA